TGGGTCCAGTGGGTTTCGCTGATTCCCAGTACTGCCAAGTTGTATCTCCTCATTTCCGTTGCTATTTGACTGGTCTTCCCGGTTTCCCACATTGTTCGGACGTTCCATGTACCTATAAAAATTTTTGCTCTGGTTGTTAGAAGGGGCATCGGCCTCGTGGCTTCCGAAGGAACTCGGCTTTCACCATGAAGCGTCATAATTCTTCTAAATGAAGACCTTCTAACTTTCAGGGCAGAGTTAAAATGGTTTGAATAATTTTTTCTGGTAAGCGTTTTTTTAGCGAGTTAGTTTTCTACGGGATGGGGACGCTAACCCCATGCCCAACCCTCCTCCTTTACCCGGGCTTGAGACCGGCAGTAACTGTAGAAGAGCTACAGGCGGAGTTTGTAAATTGTCTACTAATGTTGAATTAGATAATAAGAGCTAACTCAAGGAAGAAGGAGGAAAACGGAAACAATAGCATGCTACTTTACGATTATAAGTAGTCTAACTTTTATCCTAAATTTAAACATTATTTTTGGCGATTAGATAGGTGGTTTTTATTTGAATCATGAGGGTTGAGAACGAATAAGTAAATAAAATATTAGATGTACAGTTAACAAAAGCGAAGTTAAAAGTATTAACCCATAAGTTATGTGCTCTAGAATTGTGTAATCTGTGCGTGAAGACACATAGGTTAGTATACAAACCACCATTAAAGACTGATTCACTATATTCTACTCTGGATTTTACATTGTGTTAATACATGATTATTCTGTCCCTACAGTCTGGCTCTCGATTGTCTATTGAATAACTTGTATCTATATGTCACACAATTTAGCATAATGATCTAGTTATTTAGTATATCGATTACATGATTATTGATATCATTCAGTTCAGTGTTTCGTGCATCAAAACGTATTATCTATTTAATAATTGAATTCATGAGTCATGAAGCTAGACCACCATGGAAAACCTCGAATCTCGCGAGGTGGGATCATGGATGTGCACTGCTGAGGAGTCCCATACTAGGACGAAATGGCTATTCAGTCCTTTCAGGTTTTCCATGGTGGTCTAGCTTCAATTGACTCATGAATTCAATTATCAAATTACTACAATCTCCACAAAACTCATCTGATTATTATCTATTATTCAGTAAATGGACACGAATGATCTTAGTTTTTCACTCCCAAAAATAATATTATTTTCAACAATGTAGATTGTTAGGTCATAGTCGAAATTATAAAGGTGAAAAAAAAGTAGGCCATGTATGTCGAAACGAGCTGATTAGTAATAGTGGTTTAAAGCTATAGGAATGTAGTTATTCGTGTTCGATATATTACTAGGAATACTTATAAACATACTATGTAGTACTGCATATTTATGACATTGATTCTACATTTTTAAATACCTTGGCTGATTTGGTAGAATGTATGTCACAACAGCTGAATAATCAGATTCATGCTTCTATTTATTTATCGATATGCATTTATCAGCGAAATAAAATTGCTTTGTCTACATATATACATAGGTTGTTCTTAGTATTATAACAACGTTATTTTCTGTGATTTATTTATCTTCAATTACATGAAGATTTACTTACTTACACCTGTTACCCCCCCCCAATGGAGCATAGGCCACCAACCAGCATAATTACATGAAGAGATAAGTGAGATTTCATCACATTATAGGGATTAATTGAAAATAAAAACCATCGAAACATTCTACAATCCATAGAAAATAATGTGGTGATTCTAATCCATTCCTTCAATTAATTATTGATCGCTTTAATAAAATGTCTTCTATAGTGAACTTAAGAATTAAAGACAGACAAATGCTCTTCTTTAGTTTACCATAAATTCTAGAGAGAGAAATCAGTTAAATATGCTTATACTTTGGTAGTTTTCAACAGTTTAATTGATGGTCTAGCTTCAACTGACTCATGATCTGAATCATTGAAAGTCCTAATTCACTTCAGCAAAATATCCAGTGTTTTCCGTTCATATTACTGTTCACTTACTAACTAATTAGTAATTAATCTTTTATCTGTATTTAGAATCTAACCTTGAATACTTTAATGCAGAAAATTTCCTAAACTGAATATAGTTAAGTCAGTAACGTAGATAAAACTTTTGATCGTTAGTAAATAAGTGGTTGAAAATTTCACCTTATTTAGTTGTGCTAACAAGTGAAATGGACAAGCCGATGGAAACAACTGAGTAGAGTTACTAATCAGTCTTACAAATATAAGAGATTAAAGGTAGAAATACTTTGAAATCAACATAATTTCTGTTCTTAATTCTTTAGAATTTGTAGCCGACTCACTTCATATCACTTCAAACGTTTTATTCCATTCTTGCTAGTTGTAACTTCAAGTAAAGCCTCTCTAGATCTACTGTCGGTCGTAAGCCCATATAAAGAAAGAGGCCTAACAACTCTACCTCGTAAAAATTAGCCACTCTATGAGATCGTTAAACATGGGAAACCAGTTACACTTTGTCCTGGGAGTTGACGGGTTTCGATGTAGAGGAATTGTGACGCTACATGCTGAGAGCCAAGAGTCTATGGATATCATGAGGCTTAAGACTCATCTGACAATTAAGGTAACAGTAGAAATATGAAAATGGGATACCCGAACAATTTTGATGAGAAGGAGAGTCACTAAAATAGCCGCTAAAATGAGAAGCTACAACCTGAATCTATTTAGAATAAGTAAAACCGATTGGAGACAATCTGAGCATTAGGGATTAATTTTAAAGAAGATGATCTCGTGTTGTGGTTGAAAAGCAAAGAAAAATCACACCTACGCATAGAATCGCACCGGTAAGGTTCAAAGAAGCACAGCATGCTCTTAAAGGATGGGAATCTTATGGCTCTTAGAGCATCAAAGCATCCTTCAAAACAAAGGAGGAAAAAATTTCAAAGAGTGCCTTTAAGTTCTGCTCACCCACCAACAATAGCGCTAAAGAGGATAAAAATTAGTTTTATGAGAGGGTGTGGTCCATCTTAGAGGAATAATACGAAAAATACCTGACCACCTTAACCAAGGATTTTAATCCAAGGGTCGGTAAAGAAATCACAGGGTATGAAGACATCATGGAGTGACATGGGCTGGGAGAAGGGAATGAGAATGGTGAGAGCATTATAAATTTGTGTGCTTTTAATAACATGGTTATAGTTGACACAATTTGCCTCGCAAATGCGTGGATAAAGCTATGCAGATTTCGCCGGGCCATATTACGAAGAACCAGACCGGTCACATATACATGAAGAAAAAAACTCCGAAGGACTATAGAAAACCTAAGAAAAAAGAAGAGAGCTGATTTAGACACAGATCACCAACTGGTGGTAGCCAAGACGAAACTAAAGCTAAAGAAGCACTGAAAAGTTGAGCAATCAGCATTGTTAAAGCTCACCACAGAATCCCTTCCAGGTGCTAACAGACTTAGAAAGTGTAGCATAGCTGCTCTCAGTTATAAGTCTCAAGTATTACAAGATTTACAGAGAGAAGAGAGAATCACTAAGAAGAACAACTGGAAACGAATTAAGGAAGAGGTAACTAAAACATACTAAAAGGTCATAGACCCTGAGTAACACCAGCATAAAGAACATATCTCTATAGTAAGCTTGGGCAAGACACAAGAAAGAGGAAACAATAAGATAGTAGTCAACAACAGATAAATAAAAGCAGAAAAAGTCAAAGCATGAGCTGGATATACCAAAACAAACAAGAGAGTGAATAAGTTATGGTGTCGGGAATTAAAAGCAGACATCAAGAGGATGAACAGCATTTGGGAACAACTGGAAGGGAAATCCCAGGTTTTAGTCCGTTGGAGATCTCTGTCTAGTCGAAGACTTATGCCCCATAAAGGGTAGAAGGCTTAGTTAAGACAGTAAGTTGTCAACTATACATTTTAATTTGTTTGTCCGTCTTCTAATTGATCGAAAATTTTCCAAATACTTCCTTTAAGTTTGGTACCTTAAACGCTCATCTCTATTTAATCTGTTGCTACAATATATCCAAAATATAATTGTTATAACTTGACCGCTGATTGGAGAGCAGTGACTTATCGATCGAATCAATGACTCGTAAAACCGTATGAGCAGTCTAGAGTTCTGATTGGCCCTGCTTCCTGTCTAGCCCAACCAGTTAAGTCCAAAACGCAAGTCTCGGCCTCTAAGATATGAATCATTATATTTCAAGCATACTGAGTTTATATACCAATCAAACCGACCACAATGTACCAATAAAATATGAAACAACATTTGTACAAAAATTAGTCAGATGTGGCTGTAAATGAGGGAGGTTGCGATTAACAGTCAGGGAATAGTTCATGAATGGTAAATCGTATAATAATAGTTCATAGGTCAAAATAAAGCTCATAATAAGAGGGACATGAACAGCTTAGTTACATAACAATTATACGATAAAAATATACTCATAATATCGGTTCATAAATGGATCCCAAAAACTACCATTCATTATTCTTATCGGGATACAACAATAATCTTCTATGAATAATATTGAGTGATTTATCTACGTTATTGGCAAAAGAAAATATATGAAATGACGTTTGAATTCAGATCTTAAAAATTTCCAGATCAAAATCATCGATCCATATCATATATCATTTAACATGATTTATTAGTATATATTTCAACAAATTAATTGATGATACATACATTAAGCCAAATAGTGTATATGAGAAAAATGAATAGGATTATTTTTAAATATATTTGTCCTTTAATTTGGACACTAAAACTTATTCATGTTCCACTTGTTTTTTTCTCAGTTAACTTTAAATTTATACATTAGATCATAGTTCTAAAAGTCGGATCATGATCTGAAAAAAATTTTTTTTATTGTTGTTGTTTGAAATTTATAATTAAATCTTGATAATACACACACACACACACACTTGGTTTACACTTTAAGTATGATCAAAAATCACATAGAAACAATCATCAAATATGTATATATATATATACTATGACATCATTCACTGACTGTCATTTTAATTATGTTTTATTTTATATTTTTACTATTATTGAACATTGTCTGTAACTATGAAGTAAATGCTTTGGAGAATGAACATATTGAACCGGTGTTTGAAAAATTGATTGAATATGTGAATCAAAATGTAGGTAATTCGTGAACTATTCTTTATTTTCAGAGAAGGGTTTTTGTGGATATTATAGTAATTTAATAGTTGAATTCATGAGTCAATTGAAGCTAGGGTATCATGGAAAACCTGGAAGCACTGAACAACCGTTTCATCCTAGTATGGGACTGCTCAGCAGTGCACATCCATGATCTCGCCCCTCCTCACGAGATTCGAACCCAGGACCCACAGTGTGGCGGGGGGCGAGATCGTGGATGCACACTGCTGAAAAGCCCCATAATGGGACGAAACGCCATCCAGTCTTTCCAGGTTTTCCATGGTGGGCTAGCTTCAGTTGACTCACGATCTCAACCATTGAGATTATCATTTACTAAACAACTGTTCACAAGCAAACATTTTATAGATAGGACCATAATCGGCGAGACTATAATTTGTGGACGAACTAATCAGGTATAAGATAACAGGTTTCGGATTTTGGCGCGAAATTCACTCATACATTCGGCTAAATAGAGTTTTAACATTTTAGCTGATGTTAGTTCGTGACGAAAACCTTAAATCTAATTCCTAACCTTAACCATCAACTGTTAATCACAATCCTTATTTTTCACACTGGTTTAAAATCATTATTTAGCCCTCGTCAGTAGGTGGACATTCTCAAGTCCACTTTAGCGTCCCTCAAAGGTCGTCCATAAATTATAGTCTCGCCCCAAAATCTGGAATATCATCTTATCCATCATACTAATTCTTTTTTTAGCCAGGCTTTGGATGGAAAGCAGGAATTAATAGTCGTTTCAAAAACTTAAAAGATACTCAAAAATTGTTTAGAAATAACATTAAAATTAAGGATTCAGGTGGAAAACAAATTCAAACAATTTCCCACAGAAATGTGAATATAGTTATACCTTATTCATTTGATGCAAGAGACCATTGGGTAAACTGTTCAACTATCAAACATATTCATGATGAATGTTGTTGTAGAGCAGATTGGGTAAGTCTGAAAAGTATCTCATTTTTCTTTATATAAACGCTCATGAATAAAGTGTGCATTTATCAGTGTAGAAGTTTAATCATCAGTAAACTTTGAAGAAGGACAAATCTTGATATGACCATGACAAATATAAAACTTCGGTTCAGTAGTAAGCCATGAAAACTGTCAGTTTAAGGACAACGTCGCCTAAACAAGCTGCGTACAGTTTTACCTCTTTGTACACCACATAATCCATTTTTCGTTAAATTAAAATCTTTGTAGTGGGCTATGAGTAGAGTAGTAAGATTTGGCTGAAACGCTTCTTTGCTTCTAATCGACTTACCATTTCTCTTCAAAGGTTTAAAATGGTGTAGGACTTACTTTACATACAGATATTTTTTCAAACACGTTCTATAATAATGTTTAACCGCAGAGCCCGGGCTTAACAACTGCTATCAGAACAGGTAAAAATTGACCAGTAATACATTATCTGTTTCTGGAATATAAATTATTATAATTAGTATAAAACTATGGAGTGAATATTGTTTCAATTCTTTATTGTTTTAATCATAACCAGTACACTTACCGTCACACTATCAATTCGTACATTTTACTCATTATGTTCAGTCATGTAATCTATTTCATTTTTGTTCACTAAATCATAATCTACCCTGATCGATTTATTGGTTTCATATATGCACATAAATATTATTGTATATCAGAGTAAAGTCTGATGGGTACAATTTTTATTGATCGGTAATTAACTGAAGATGGATCAAATCAAGATCAGAGTGAGACTGAGTGGTGGGTATTTAAACAGATGTTATTGATCACTTTATTTATGAATTATAGCTAACAAATGGGATGTTTGTCTAGAGGATGTAAGATTCCATTTTGAGTGAATTGTTACCATAAATATTGGTTGTTTAGTACTGTTTTCCAAAAGATAAAAATCAAAGATATTTCACCTGGTAAATTTAATATAAAATAACTAAGTAAACTGTCTCATTTACTGAAACTTTGATGTTTTCATGGTTATAATGAAATCTGTAACAAGATTGTAACTACTGTCCATTAGTATTCATATATTGGTCTCAGAAATTTCTTATTATTTATTTAAATACTTTGAGGTGATCTATCATTAGATATTTGATCTTACAACAAAGTCGGTAATTAAAAGTAAGGAGAAAACTATACGTCCTTTATTTCTCTGGCAAAAGGACATACGATAAGGAAGTGAAATAAATATTATGAATTTATCTGAATCTTCACTGATTGAAATCATGAGTCAATTGAAGCTAGATCACCATGGAAAATCTGGAATCACTAGACGGCCGTTTCGTCCTTAGCAGTGCACATCCACGACCCCGCCCCCCGCGAGATTCGAACCCAGGACCCATCAGTCTCGCGCCAGGCGCTTAACCAACTAGACCGGTTAGGCGGCATCCAACAGTGTTAATGTCTAACTTCAACGAATCCACGGAGTTGCGCCACCGAACACCATTGTCTTCAGTGAGTTCCTATCTCACAACAGACCTGGTTGAACTCCACTGGTAACGGCCTCTCATTAGAACTCTGAATCTCTTGGTAGTTTTACTGTTTCATTTGTATAATCAATTAATTCAGTAGATTTTTCCCCGAATATTTTTTTGACTTCTATCTATTTGATTAAAATATTTTCTCAGTAACTAAACTGGGAATTTTTTGGTTTTGTTTAAAGTAATTTCTTTCCATAATTCGCATTCATATTACTTTATTTGTCAAGTGGTAAGTGGTGATTTATAATACTTTTTTTGAAGACTGTTTCTCATTAAAGCTAGTCAACGATTACTGAACAAATATTTCGATTCGGTCCAAGACTCTTTTGATATGCAAATCAATACTTCTCATACCAACGTACTCAGGATTGTCATGTTTCAGTGTGAATAAGATAACATTCGGTTAGTTAGTTATACTATGACAATTCACTTTTTCCTAAGTTCAATCTGTGACAAAACTACATCGACGAAACAGCTTGTTCTTATTAAGAGGCTGATACATAATATTGTATGCACGAAAGGCAACTCCAAAAAGCTCTTGAAAAAGTTAGGTCTGAAAAGTTGTTCACCTTATACCATAGCAGGATGTAATTGGATAAATTAAGCTTAAAGAAACTACAATTGTTTAGTATTTATTGATGAAATTTGTGATCAGATACAACTATTTAATTGTCCGGTTTTTCATATTAAGAGAAGAATATAATAAGCTTGTCGAAACGCTCAACCACACAACTGAAATGCACATGAAATCCAAGTTCAAAACAAAAATTCATTGAGAGAACGGTTTAACATTGAAAAATATATGTGAATTACGTCCAAATATCTACTTTCAAGTATTCTGTTTCAGTTAATTTGTCTGTATATATGGAAGAGAACATTAGGATTAATTACAAATTATGATAGAGTAAATGACATCTGGTAGCTGTGTCTAACATCAATAATGACTATCGACAAATGGAGACAAACGGCACACAAACATGGAAGCTGTTAGGTTTAAGAAACCGCAAGTACTTGCAGTAAGTGTTGAGAGGATATGTGACTGTTACTAGTTTATATAAATACTCAGGACTATTACACGATCATATGTTCTCAAAGTTTATTAGAGTTAAAACTAGTTACTGAATTTTGGCAACTAGTATAAAGTAATACACAGAAAAAGAGTAGTGTTTATAATAAAAAAGCTAAATCTTAAGCTCATTTGCATATTATAGATGTCGCCGTAATTTCTTGCTTAAATTTTTAATTTTAAACTTCTACTAATTTACTATAGGCATTCGCAACGGTCGACTCAATTAGTGATAGAATTTGTATTTATTCAAATGGTAGAGTTTCTGTACAACTAAGTGCTCGTGATGTTATAAGCTGTGGTTTTAGCCAGGGTGTTCTCATGGAAATGAAATAGAAGTTTTAATGTACTGGATTGTAAATGGTATTGTTACCGGTGGGTCATATGAAGATCAAAGTGGCTGCCAACCTTATCCTTTTTCAAAATATCCTGAGTGCAAAGACGTGAATTATGAGTTCCCAGTGTGTACGAGCGAATGTCAAGATGGTTATAATAAGACATACGAAGACGATAAGTTTTATGGTAAGAATATTAAACGAGTAGTGTTTATCAGCTACATTTTAAGTTTTAAAGAATACATCATTTAAAAAGGGATAAATAATCCACATTTTCCAGTGATCACTTTTTAATTTGGTTTCAGACTTTTATGTATCATTTCGGTTTGGGCACCTGGGAAGTATCACAGCCCTCACACAAACCGAATGATTTATGTGGCGCATATGTATTTGGTGCCTCATTGTACCAATATCTGTGTTAAAATAAATAAATAAAACATTTAGTCTAGATTTAAACTGAACTGTTTTAAAACCTATGGTTTTGATTAGTAAAGCTTACAATTGTCACTTAATAATATCCCAGTGAACAGACGGGTGATAATAGTATATTATTATCCATTCAAATATTCATTAATAAAACTAAAATGCAAGGTAAATGTGACTACAAAATAGATACCACCAAATATCTTATTCTTATGTATTGACGTTTACTTTGTTAAGAAGGGTGATAGTTCTTGTTATGTAGTAATAGTTACGAGTATAATTTTCCTTCACAACCTATGCCACTTACTAACTGATTGTTGTCACTTACAGTTTGTTAACTTGGTCATGTGTCTTAAGGTTACACCGCTTATCATATATACAGTTGTCCTACGTTCAGTGTTAAGTTTTCTTCTGGTTGGATTCTCTCACTAGGGTTTATTATTGAAGAGTTGTGTATCATTTTATTTTTACTAAAATTCTTAAATACCAATTAATATAGACATGTACTGTACCTAATCTAAAGAAATGACACATTAAATTCATTTAATTTAAGTTTGACTACTTCTCTATACATGGTTTTCAGATGTTAACAATCCATATAATAGATATTTTTCTACCCAATGTATGGTAGAACTTTTCTGTTTGTTATGAATTCCTTGACGATGTTGTTGGAATCATGAGATTGATTGTAAGGATTACCAAGCTAACTTTGAATTCGTATTTTGTTAATTGAATGTTTAGCGGCAGTGCTTAGCGAAAAACCTATTAGTTTCTAAATGATAATATTTGTATGTAAATGTCGATTAAAGTTAATCCTTATCATTTACCTAACTAAGACTTATGACCAAGTACTTTCATATTAAACAGTTACAAATATTTACCTCACTAACGCAACATTTTTAGTGAGATAGGACAATTATCAAGATCTATTAATCGTAAATGGTGGAATACAGATACCTCGGGAATGAAACAATTGTACTCAACAAGAATGGATGGTCGTTCCGTTATATCAGAAATTGATTGAAGTTTAAATGGTACCATTAAACGTCGACCAATCAGTTCCAACGGTTAGGCGTGGAACGCTGGTATAAACCATCAGCTTGATAATAATAAGCGAGTAGATCGACAAGAATAAACAACTAACTATAAACGAAATGACTAAAAGATAAATGAACTAAGAGTTAAACTATGAATCAATCAACACCAGAAAAGAGAATAGTGTAGGGACCACTGCCTATTAACTAGCTAAGATAAAATTAACCTCACTAATTACTTATTAACTGTAGTCAAATTTCAATTTCTTGTCGAGATGAAGTGTGAAACTGTTTTAAAATCTCTCCTCATGAAAAAAAAAACAATAATGAAATAACAAGACCATCCACAACTTGAAACGATTATTGATCACCATGAAATTGTTACGTTCAATGCATTAAATATTCAACGATTTGCATGTGGCGACAAAACAATTTCAAAATGAACTAACAATTCAAACAATAGTAAGATAAACAAACAAGTAAATAAATTCATTTACTTTGAAGAATTGGATTATATTAAATCATGAAGCGTTAGAAATACAATTTTTTTCTACCTATTGGGATATAATAAAAAGAAAACAGACTTTATTTATTTTAACACATAGATATTGGTACAAGGAGGCACCAAATACATATGCGCCACACAAATCTCATTTGATATGTGTGAGGGCTGTGATACTGCCCGGGTGCCCAAACCCATCATCATTTAATAATAATATAATATTCTTATCGTTTTACAAGTGTTAACCAATTGTTTTAGAATCTCAATACTAATAATTGTCATATAATGTTTGTTAGGTGAACAAATTTATAATGTTTATGATAATCAAGAGGATATTCAAAAAGAAATTTTAATGAATGGTCCAGTGATAGCAAGTATTTTTGTGAAAACAGATTTTTTGATTTATAAATCAGGAGTTTATTTACCAACACCTAGATCAAGTAATTTAGGTTGGATAAATTTACGAATAATTGGTTGGGGTTATGAAGGAAAAACACCTTATTGGTTATGTGCAAATTCATGGAGTAAAGAATGGGGTGATAATGGATATGTAAAAGTTCAACGTGGAATACAAGCAGGTTATATTGAATCATATGTTAGAGCACCAATTCCAAAAATATAGACATAAAATTTCATATGTAAATTAAGACTATATAGTTTTGTCTGCTAATTATTAATAAGTACTTGTGAATTCCTTCTCATTTTTTTGAAACTTACGTGTTATGTTCTGCCGTCATCAGATTCAGATATATAAATATCCTTAAGATATATCAGCTACGACATTAACAAAGCGTATTATTAGCTTCATCTAATCATGTGCCTTGTTTATAATTTCATCTTGAACACAGATATTTGATATAACTAGTTTCATCCAGCCTATCACAACGAAATTATTACTTATATTAGTCTAAATCAAAGACCTTTGTTATAACACCTTAATTATTCGTGTACATCAAACATGGGTATCATATCACTTCACTCCTTAAAGCTTTTATTTATCATCTACTTCGGAATACAATAAGAACATTACTGTCGCGCATCAAAGTTTTATTTTGTGAGTACATTGAACCACACAATTGTACTGATATTACAGGTTTGGCTATATGGTGACTGCAACAGTATGTTGGTTTAGAAATTTAAAGCTTGCTCTAAAAATGTACTATTATTAGATCAAAATAATCAGTATGTCTTCATAACCGAACTTTGGAGTACATGCTAAACCATATAGTTTCACAGGAAATCAAGAGGAAAATAATCATTTAGGGTTACCGAAAGAGAATGAATGTTAGGTATCCGTGTTTGTGGAAAAAATAGACGTTTGATGATTTGTATTGAATTTTGCCAAACCCAAAAATCGCTGTAGTGTAAATAAAACACAACGCAAAAATTTACACAGGATACCTAATGTCGAGAGTTGCATTTTTCCAACCTCTCTGAGGACCTAACAGGAAGAGATTGACAGGAGCTAAAGATAAATTAATGATAGCAACAGATCCAGAAAGTAAGAAAAAGCACCATGAGTATCATTAGACACTGTAGCTGACTGTAAATCGTGACATAAATGATCAATTAACAGTTCTATGAGTAGTAACACTCATAATTTAAGCGGTAGTTACAATAAGTTATCTCATCGACGGAAACTGTTTCATTTTATTTAATATACATACATTCTGGTACAACTGTGGACCAAACGTGTTAGCACTATAGAACTAGACAAATAACAACAGAAATAACGGAGAGTGACTACGATGTATGACAGGGGTCCGGTTCAAATGACGAGATAACCAAGGACATCTTACAACTTAATAAGTTCCTTTTACTTTATGACGAATCTGAAAAAACTGCAGCTGAATCCCCGCTGATGTCTAATCAGACTCATGTCCGACAATCCTTCAAGCCAGAGTGGCACAGTCCCAATCGCCCCAAACGTGGAGTCGTACCGAAAGGACATATACTAGCTTTATACAGCTACTTTTCATACCACAGTGCCATCATCTGAACCGGCCATCTCTCCACTTTTCTTCATTCATTACAAACATCCAGACATAGTGTACGACATATAGGTCGCTGGGATGACATTCGTAAAGCATGTCAATGCCACCGAAATCGATGGTAACAGCAATTCAATTATCGTCACTACACTCGGACACACATTGCTGAATCTCGGAATTAACATGGCGCCAAGACCGAATGTCAGAGATCCTTCGGATATGACGATCATCAAACACGGAGTCGCCGAGCATCCTCAAATCGGAGAGGTCACGTCTCATAAACATGTAGCAAAGCTGCTCCCAAACAGTATGTTGTAAACCTGATCTACAAACAAACTAAAATCACGATAGCGCCAAAGATGACTCAGATCAGCATAAGCCGCTCATTATACGTAGATTGATTTCACTTGTTACGTCATCACAAATACAAACAACTACTTAAGTACATAAACTTTTCAATTAATTTTAACATGACACAAAAAGTGAGTGTAGGAGCAGGTTCCAGCCAGTCTCACAGAAGTGCTTTGAATTTAGGAGCAATTTATATACTTCACTTACGAACACTAACTACAAACTGGTTAAGTGTAATTCCCATAGTTTGTGTAACAGGGCACAGTAAGACATCATCACGTACTTAAAGTTGGAAAGTCATTCATCAGGAAACTGCATACATAAGGTAAAACTAAAATCGTACTAATTGAAACGTTGAATATATTATATTAGTTTTTAAAATAAATAACGATGAATATACAAGAAACAGATACATGAGATTTATATATTACATTTGTAAGATTACATAGTACTGTACGAAAGATAATATATATATATATATATATATATATATATATATATATATCATATGGTACAGTAAATACATATCTCTCTCAACGAAAAATCATTTGCTGTTATGTTTTCTTCTCTTCTTTAAAGGTGAACAAATTGATAGAAAATTAGGATTGGATAAATTTGTATTAGTTAGAGCAGTATATAATCGATTTATTGAATTGTTCCGTTCATATATTGAAAGACATAATTCATCGACTAAATCACAATAATTGTAAAACAAATGAACAATAACAAATGTCAAATTAAAAAAATCTCTAAATAGTTAACGATGGTAAGAGTTAAGAATGTAGTTGGTAATTCATGTACACTTTAATCTCTAACCATTGGATTTATACGTTCGAATGTAGTTTAAAACGGAAACACGTATTTACTCATACAATAATAATAAGAAGAATAAAAATAATAATGTAACTTAACTATCAAGCACAAATTCATGTGTCCGGTTTAGTGACATTATGCGTCTACTACAAAATGAATTAAGTGGAACCGAGTTTAAACCAATCACCTACCTACTACTACTGGTCAATTTAATCGTTAAGCTGTTGTACTTATTTAGATTATTGTATTTTTGATTACTTCTCCGATTACAAATTCCATATACGGATAAATTAAACGTCTGGAAGTAAAGAACTGACGATATTGAATTTTATCAAATTCACCAGATATTACTTATTACTGATGGAATATTTCCCTAGTTGTATATTATACAATTTGATCATATTTTATGTAGACTTGAAAAGTCTTTGTGTTCTAATTTATGTAGCACATTAAAAAAAATAAACAGTAGATACTGTGTTTTTTTAGGAGGAAAATCAGCAAGTTTTGTTTTAAAACAAGCTGACAATTTTACAAAAAATGAAGTATAAGTTCAAGGTAGGAGGAAGGTGTTGAGATAAGTAGGCAGGTTAACACATCACTTACAATTGCTACATATGATATTTTCAACAAACAGATCTTAAAGAGAGGTATATCCATTGATGAAGACATTAATTTGAATAACCCCTGTTTTTATGATGGTATACTTATTTTATGGGACGTAAACTATAGATCAGTTTAATGAAAACATTTACTTTTTTGTGCTCAACTTGATTTATGATGTTAAATTTTAAGTAAATGCACATTCTGAAAATGATAATTGTGTGTCAAATGAAAACTAGTTGACATAATTCAGAAATCGCTAATACTTTATTTCATAGATTTTAACAAGCAATTAGTGATATAACACACTGTATGGTCGGAAAATATAAACTAAACGATAAAAACAACAGTTAATTACTTAGGACGAAATGTGAATTTATACATATAGAATTCTAAATAGTTTACATATAAACACTTAACTTTTCGCCTTTAGTTAGCTACTTTTAAACGTCTAGATTGATCATGTATTTTTAGTTCATTGAAAATTAGTAAATTATTGTTTCATTTAGGATAATTAAAATTTATGACATTGCCTCATATGTTTCTTCCTATAACAATATAAAATTTTATAAGCAGTATGGACCATCGCTAACACAATAGCTCATCAGTAATAAGAAAACGAATAAATCTAAGTTCAAAATCAGCAGTATAATTGTTTTTATTCCTTATTCGATTCTTTTTCTGTATATTTATATACTACTTACTAATATTCAGTAACTAGTTTCAATTCTGATAACTTTCAAACATTTTATGTGTAGCAGTTTTCATGTTCTCAGTTGTTAACAGTTTTTGTTTTAATTATTGACAATCACTACAAATGCGCTAAACATCCCAAACACCTCACAAATAGAGATTTGTAACCATTTTGTGTATATTTGTGTAATGGTAATATCGCCTTTTATATAAAATTTACTTTTGATCCGGATTTTTCTCTCTTAACTTCATCTTGTGGTCAGACGCTCTGATAAGATTTTACAATATTGTTATGGAATTACAACATATTGAGACAAATAATAATGAAGCCTTTAAACTGTACAATTGGACTAGTCATTTGCCACGAACAGATAGAAAAGTGACATATATCCGAGGTTCTAAGTCTGCAAAACATTTAATGACCTTCAGATAGTAATGGATACCGATAGATCGTACCGTATGTAATTTCTAATGATGTTCATTTTGTCTAAAATTTACTTTTGTACGAGAAAGTGCCTCAATCTTTTGCAGAAAGAAAACGACTGCGGTTGTACGGTTGATTGATTCGTTATTTTCTATTGTCAATCATAATTGTAACAAAACAGTAGATTCAGTTTTGTGAGCAATTGTTGGTTGATTAAATCATAAAGTTAGGCTTTACTAATCGATTAGAATTTTGTGCATCATTTTAACAGCCAAACAATGCTCATCAGTCACAATTCTTCACATTCCAGGAGGATGTAAAAAGTCTACTAGAGAGAAGGAAGATAACTTAGATTTTAATACATAGGTGATTAATTTAAGCTTATTGAAAGTACAGATGTGACGGACGGGAAGATATTGAAAAACACAAATGAAAAAAGTAGATCTCTCAACAATTGCACTTAACAAAAAACACCTACGTTAGTATGTAAGGATTTATTCTAGTTTTAAAAATGACAGTGACCTAAGTGAACTGTTCAACTATACTTGACTGTTACGATTTCGCGGTTTTTAAAATAGGCAACAACGTCAATACTGTAAACGAAGAAATGTAATGCAAGATAATTGCGTTAAAACCGGTCAATATAATGTCACCTTTATGAAAGAAAAGAACTATACAAAAAGATCCAAAGTCTATGGTTTTATCTTTTAAATCCCGATTATCAATAATTAATTCATCAATATAAATCAT